TGAATAACAAATGCATTAGAAAGTCTGTGATTACGTAAATCCCCCCTGTGTTCACGGACCCGTGTTTTGAGACCCCTACCAGTTTCCCCGTAGTACACCCGCGGGCACCCACTACATGGAATTTTGTAAACTACGCTGTCACTGTTGCGAGGCTGTTTCCTTTTTTTACGCATTATCCCACCTATCTTCTGCCCCCCTACAGAGACTATGCGCAGCGCAGGACCTATCAGTTTCTGAACCGTTTCATTCAAGGGAGAATGCGGAGCTACTACCATTGGTTTGGTTTCTGCCACAGGCTGACCAGCTACAGCTGAGGGCTGGTTATCTGAGGTGACAGATCGGGACCATATCTTCTTTGCTTTGTCTCTCAGAGATAAAAGCATGATTAAAGGGAATTGAAGTTTCATGAACGTTTGAACCACATAATCGATCTCGTCACGTAAAAAGTCTTCGGAACATATTCTGAAGGCGCGCAAAAAGAAACCAATAACGACCCCGGATTTAACTCTCTGACTGTGCCCTGAAAAGTAGTGTATAAGGTCATCCTTGTTTGTTGGCTTTCGGTAAACAGTGAACTTAAGTGAGTCTCCCGTTCTGATCAATAGCGTATCTAAGAAGGGAAGCCTGTCGTTCTCTTCCTCCTCCACTGTGAATTGTATAGCGGGATCTACTGCGTTTAGTTCATGGAGGAGGTTTGTGATATTAGTTTCTGATGGGATACATGCCAGTACATCATCGACGTATCTAACCCACAAGTTATGCTCCCCCACTATACGTTTGAACGGGTCTTCCTCCATTTTCTCCATATATAAGCACGCTAAAACGGCACTTAGAGGGGAACCCATTGCTAATCCGCTAACTTGTATGAACTCCTTGTCATCGAAGGTAAAGGGGTTGAAGTTGACACAGAGTCGAATTAATGCCATGAAGTCTGCCTTTGAGACCGGAAGATCCTCATCATTCACGTTAGATAGCGCCCTGCCTACGGCATCTAAAGCCCCGTCTACTGGAACGTTCGTGAATAGGGCTTTGACATCAAAGCTCACCATCTTCTTGCCGGTTACGCGGAGATCTCTGATGCGCCTCAAGAGATCACCTGAGTTCTTGAGATGAGCTGAGCTTATAGTGCCAAGAAGGTCAGATAACGGCTTAGCCAAGACCTTAGCGAGCCGATGAGGGGCGCTGCCGATACCGGATGTTATCGGCCGCATTGGAGTGCCCGATTTATGTGTCTTCGGCATGCCTCTCATCGTTGGTGTCCTAGGGCTTTCTTCCAAAAGATGGAGAAGTTTCTTTCCCTTTTCTGAACGGCGCAGTATTTTTCGTGCTTCCTTGTTAAAGATGTCAGATGATTTCTTCCCAGATCCCAATTTGACTGGTTTGTAAGTGGCAGTTTCGGAAAGGAGAGTCATCATCTTCTCATTATATGCAGTCATGTCCATTATGACGACGCCCCCACCTTTGTCTGCAGAAGTGATAATGATATCTTCATTCTTCGCCAGGTTTTGCAGCGCTCGAATGTATCTTCGAGGTAGCGAGTGATGGTTAGAGTGGGCAAGAGCAAAGAGACATGTCAATATACCTTGCTTGAAGCCTTTATCAATGTCACTATCGCTGAACTTGTTGTTCTTTGCCAACAAGTCCATGTACTTTGAGTTGCTCTTCCCTGTGTCGAATTTGAGACCTAAGGAAAGAGCCTCCTTTTCTACGTCACTGAGAACATATTTGGACATGTTGTTGATCAGGTCATCAGGTACGGGGAAACTGGTAGGGGTCTCAAAACACGGGTCCGTGAACACAGGGGGGATTTACGTAATCACAGACTTTCTAATGCATTTGTTATTCACGCTGAGAAAGAAGGGCATTTACCTGATTGGACGCGGGCTACACATGTGGATCAAAACTTTTCTAAAACCCAACGGAGAATTATAGAAGCGGCGTTTATTGCGAAAGGTGATGTTTTGAACACTTCGAGTGGATTCTTCAGACTAGCTTCGGTGTCTGCTCTGTTGGCTAGGAAAGACGTTAATTTGTAGTATGTGTGTATGTATATGTCAATATGTCATGCAAGGCAGAGGAAATTTGTGAAAAAGTGCCCGCGCTATATTCGAACGAAACCGAAAAAACGTACTTGACTCTGTAGGTAAAATGTGTCATATCACCCTTGAAAAAGTGAATAACACGAAACGTTGGGTGGTTTTGGTGTTTTTATCTTACATCAAATACGAATTAATTTGTCCAATTCAAACAATCAACATGTCAAATGATGTAAGAGATGAAACATTTGCGATACGACACGAATTTTACCTACGAGATAAGTACTTTCGAACCAGGAACCAACTTAGTTTTCTAGAAGACTGCATAGAAGAACAAGTACTACCTCGATCTGCCCCGAATGCTCTCTATTCCGACGAACGCCCATTCACTGAAGCAGCTAGAGCTTATCTGCAAGACGGGATTGAGAAACTGAAGCAAAGGGCAGCATCTTTGAAAAGCAGTTTCGGAGAACAGCTCTCTCGACACCTAAACGAACGTCTGATACGAAGTTCAATCAAACACAGAGAAGTCCTGCAAAACAAGTTAGCTCGGATATGCTCAAACAGTAAGTGGAGAGAGGCAGGCAACGCTGACCTGATCAACAACATGTCCAAATATGTTCTCAGTGACGTAGAAAAGGAGGCTCTTTCCTTAGGTCTCAAATTCGACACAGGGAAGAGCAACTCAAAGTACATGGACTTGTTGGCAAAGAACAACAAGTTCAGCGATAGTGACATTGATAAAGGCTTCAAGCAAGGTATATTGACATGTCTCTTTGCTCTTGCCCACTCTAACCATCACTCGCTACCTCGAAGATACATTCGAGCGCTGCAAAACCTGGCGAAGAATGAAGATATCATTATCACTTCTGCAGACAAAGGTGGGGGCGTCGTCATAATGGACATGACTGCATATAATGAGAAGATGATGACTCTCCTTTCCGAAACTGCCACTTACAAACCAGTCAAATTGGGATCTGGGAAGAAATCATCTGACATCTTTAACAAGGAAGCACGAAAAATACTGCGCCGTTCAGAAAAGGGAAAGAAACTTCTCCATCTTTTGGAAGAAAGCCCTAGGACACCAACGATGAGAGGCATGCCGAAGACACATAAATCGGGCACTCCAATACGGCCGATAACATCCGGTATCGGCAGCGCCCCTCATCGGCTCGCTAAGGTCTTGGCTAAGCCGTTATCTGACCTTCTTGGCACTATAAGCTCAGCTCATCTCAAGAACTCAGGTGATCTCTTGAGGCGCATCAGAGATCTCCGCGTAACCGGCAAGAAGATGGTGAGCTTTGATGTCAAAGCCCTATTCACGAACGTTCCAGTAGACGGGGCTTTAGATGCCGTAGGCAGGGCGCTATCTAACGCGAATGATGAGGATCTTCCGGTCTCAAAGGCAGACTTCATGGCATTAATTCGACTCTGTGTCAACTTCAACCCCTTTACCTTCGATGACAAGGAGTTCATACAAGTTAGCGGATTAGCAATGGGTTCCCCTCTAAGTGCCGTTTTAGCGTGCTTATATATGGAGAAAATGGAGGAAGACCAGTTCAAACGTATAGTGGGGGAGCATAACTTGTGGGTTAGATACGTCGATGATGTACTGGCATGTATCCCATCAGAAACTAATATCACAAACCTCCTCCATGAACTAAACGCAGTAGATCCCGCTATACAATTCACAGTGGAGGAGGAAGAGAACGACAGGCTTCCCTTCTTAGATACGCTATTGATCAGAACGGGAGACTCACTTAAGTTCACTGTTTACCGAAAGCCAACAAACAAGGATGACCTTATACACTACTTTTCAGGGCACAGTCAGAGAGTTAAATCCGGGGTCGTTATTGGTTTCTTTTTGCGCGCCTTCAGAATATGTTCCGAAGACTTTTTACGTGACGAGATCGATTATGTGGTTCAAACGTTCATGAAACTTCAATTCCCTTTAATCATGCTTTTATCTCTGAGAGACAAAGCAAAGAAGATATGGTCCCGATCTGTCACCTCAGATAACCAGCCCTCAGCTGTAGCTGGTCAGCCTGTGGCAGAAACCAAACCAATGGTAGTAGCTCCGCATTCTCCCTTGAATGAAACGGTTCAGAAACTGATAGGTCCTGCGCTGCGCATAGTCTCTGTAGGGGGGCAGAAGATAGGTGGGATAATGCGTAAAAAAAGGAAACAGCCTCGCAACAGTGACAGCGTAGTTTACAAAATTCCATGTGGTGGGTGCCCGCGGGTGTACTACGGGGAAACTGGTAGGGGTCTCAAAACACGGGTCCGTGAACACAGGGGGGATTTACGTAATCACAGACTTTCTAATGCATTTGTTATTCACGCTGAGAAAGAAGGGCATTTACCTGATTGGACGCGGGCTACACATGTGGATCAAAACTTTTCTAAAACCCAACGGAGAATTATAGAAGCGGCGTTTATTGCGAAAGGTGATGTTTTGAACACTTCGAGTGGATTCTTCAGACTAGCTTCGGTGTCTGCTCTGTTGGCTAGGAAAGACGTTAATTTGTAGTATGTGTGTATGTATATGTCAATATGTCATGCAAGGCAGAGGAAATTTGTGAAAAAGTGCCCGCGCTATATTCGAACGAAACCGAAAAAAACGTACCTACTTGACTCTGTAGGTAAAATGTGTCATATCACCCTTGAAAAAGTGAATAACACGAAACGTTGGGTGGTTTTGGTGTTTTTATCTTACATCAAATACGAATTAGGATGTCCTGGCTCAAACTTTGGCCACTTTACGTGTAAAGCTTATGGTGAAGGGAAAACTGGACGCCCGGCTGAACGTCATTACTCGGGTAGCAAATCGTGTCCAGTGGGAGTCGAAAGTATCTCCAAATGTCGAAAAAATGTGTCAGTATTATAAGAAACACCCTGTATGTTACTTGACGAATAAGTTTTTGAACGTAAACCTTGTGTCACGCTTACGATTGTTGTCCTCAGGCTGTGAGACCGAAGAGCGGCGTGTTCTGTTTCCTGATCACAGAAGCTCGCGAAACAACGGCGCTAGAGATGCCCGACCGCGAAAACACATTCGTACTGCGGGTGAGTGGACGCAGGGCAGGGCTGTGGAGTCCAGGGCTGCCGAGTCGATGGATTTTAGGTAACTTTGACACCGAGTTGAACTTCGGCTTCAAAAATTGACTCCGACTTCGACTCCAGCCCCGACTCCGGACGTTCTTCAGGAAGTCCATGTAATGAAATTAAATTGCATATCTGAGATCTTATCATCTTGGCTGAAGCGAACCTTTGGGCGTTCCAAGGCCTTGTAAGGTAGTACTTTTTAACCCGCGCATGACTGGGGTATTTTCCATAACGGGAGTGACTGAGGGGGGCTCTCCAGACTCCAGAGTCCCCCTCCTATCTCCGAAACTACTTGGCCGATCGTCAAAATTCAAACGGGGTCTGATAGCCCTGAATAAACCTGTCGAACGAAACCTATTTTCTTTGACCTCGAGGTCACCGATGACGTCACAGGTCGGGTCAAAGTAAAAATTATCGGCATTTTTGCTTGTTTGCAATTTAGTTTCTGGCCGCCGGCTGACACATCCGATCAGGCTCATTTTGGCTTACGCACTCCTTGATATATGGCTTAGATGTCCTGAGGGTACCGAACTTTTACTTCGAATTTTTCAGGTCAAGGCTAGGTCATCCTAGGTCACAAAAATTGTATATCATGTACCGGTCACGTGATGCATGTTTTATGGTCCATTTTACTCGTAGATTTCGACAATATGTAATGTCGTTTGTGTCATTTGAGGTCATATTGAGCTGAATTTACCGGAGGTCAGCCTCAGGCCACTTTCAGGTCAGAAATGATCAAATTTGATTTTTTTTCAACAAAAAAGGTGCATATCAGATGCAGTTTAAGCTCAGGAACACGAAGGTGCCATTTATATTGCTGTACGATGTCAAAAACGTACTAAAAAATGGTTTTGAAAAATATATAATTGTAAAATTTTGACAATAATGCAAATAACTTGGCTATTTTTGAAGATATTGGGCTAAAAGTGGGTAAAATAGTTAATCAGTGTGTGTTCTATCACACATATTCCGTTTCTTGCGAAAAATAAAAAAAATAAAAAAGTATATTTATGTTATTGTAAAAACATATTTTTCCACATTTTCAAAATTTCGAAAATATGAGATAGCAGTTTGATAGCTACGTGTATTTGTAGTCTACTGATGCAAAGAAATTGGATCTAGCTTTAAAACTAAGCTCTTGAGAGCGTTTGCCGTAATTCAACATTTTGCATCAAAATCGGCCGACATGACGTCACTCTGACGTCATTTTCGGCCAAAGTGTGGCAGCTAGAAAGTTAAGATTTTAACACAAGGTGTCAGATTATTACCGCTGAAGGTACAGTCCACAGCAGAAGTAATGTGTGGTTTCAGTCATGGGTATGTTCTGCTTCTGAAGCCTAAGAACGATTAGCCAGACTGCAACGAGACTTTAAATGTAGCTTACATGTATCTTCACCCTTGCAGCTACAACTTTATCTATTGACGTCTTCTTTTCAATCAGTCCGCATTTAAAAATCGTCGGTCAAAGCCATCCGTTGAGATTGGTAAAACCACACATTACTTTAGCGGTGGGCTGTACCACAAGTTTTATGTTGATCCGTCAAACGTTTTAGAAGATATTGCTGAAAAACGGGAGGGGGGTCTGTAGAACCCCCCTCCAGTCATGCGCGGGTTTAATAGCATGCAGAAATAATAACAGGCTTTGACGCAGCAGCCGTTTACAGTTTTTTTTCGATGGGAACGCCAGGGCTGGAAAAAGTGCTTCGGTGGTTGTCGTCCGAAGGAAAACGGGCTTATTTGGTTGTCAACTCAAGATGTCTAACCCGCGCCCCGCTAAGGGTCCTTGATTTCCACAGCTTGCTGGGGGGGGGGAGGCGGGGGGGTCAACAACTCGCTCTTTTAAGTCTGATCCTAGGTCAAGTAGTGACAAGCCGTAAACGGCATTCGAAAGAACGTCCAAAATAAGGACGAAAATATGTCATTCATTTTTTAGTTCAAGTAAAAGGTCATAGGTCACCAGATGCCATTTAAGGGAGATTATGACCTTTTCCCACTTTATTGGAGTTGGGACCGTTTTTTAGTAGAAAATGTATAAATATAATGTAAATTCATTGCATTTTTCCGAAATCATAAAATTACCATGTTTTTTTAAGTTGAAGTAGCTCAAGCGCTCCGCGCTTGGTAGTGATGGGTGAGCAAGTACTTGCAGGTTTAAGTAAAATCGGTGAGTAAAAACTAAATAATATTTGAAAATTTTATTTTAATTGATTGCTCCCTTTATGGTCAATTCGTGAATAAAAGGTTTTCTTATACATTTGTTTTTTCGACGTGTACGAATGCTTTTAATTATTAGGTACCGGACAATACATAATTTAGTTGCAGCATTTCTCATTTCAAATAAGGAACGAATGAGAACGAAGTCTTGCTCTTTATTTTTGGAAGAATTTGGTATAAGTTATTTCATTAGTCAGTATGTCAAAAAACTCTTTTCATATATTGATACAAATATATTACCTTTCTTAGAATACCAGTGAGTCGAAATACATGTGTACCGGATGACATAAATTTCGTAGCTGCGTTCCTTCTGATTTGAATGGCCACAGTACCTACACACGTTGCACAGTGGCCCTTTTTCAGAATTAGCACGCATTAATTCCCACAATACCTGAAAAAGGTGCAAGACATCACCACGTGATCAAGGACGTATTCCCTGCCAATGCAAAGAGAAGAAAAGAAACGAACTGCCCAAGGAGATTCGGCCCAACAGCGACAGGCCGCTCGGGCCAAGATTTGGCGCACGTTCGCACGGCTCGCCCGCCGGCCAGGCCGCTCCGAACGCAAGTGTGGCGAGCCCGCCAGCCGACCGCGCTGCACTGACCGCCAGGACGCCCCAGGGCGTCACGTGACCGCAGCTACAGCTGTTGCCAGCCACCGTTAGTATAATTTCAATTAGCACATCTTATGGCAAAAGTCAAGCCACATTTAGGCGCACACCAGGTGACACCAGCTTCGAGCCAGGTCAATGAGCTTAGTCGTATCGAACAGGAGCCACAGCCGCTCGCGGACTGAACTGGCTCACATTATCCACCGTAGAAGCAAAATGGCGCAAAATGGCGCGATGCCCTTTGGTGGACATGGTCAGAAGAAATCGGCGATTCGAACGATGTATAATATGACATGTTCCAGAGTGTGCTACTTAACATAAAGCTTCAATTGTATGCCGCCATCTCCAGTTAACCCGCGCCGTGCTGGTGGCCTGAACTTTCCGCCGAGTGCTGGGGGGGGGGGGGGGCGTTTTCACGCCCCCCCGTCTAACTCGGCTCCTGGGCCACGTAGCGACACGCGGTAAGCGGCAATCGAAAGAGCGTCAAAAATAAGGACGAAAACACCTCGGTCATTTTTTGGGTCAGGTCAAAGGTCAGGTCACCAGAGGTCACCAAAGGTAAAATGTTGACTCTTTCAACATTTTGGAAACTGCCAACGGCTATCTCGGGAACCGATAGAGCTACAGCGCCGCGGAAAAGCGCATTCGATAGCCCTTTTACAGACCTTTCTGAGTATTGTTCTCAGATTTGACCTCAGGTCAACGGTTTAGGCTCCAGAGGGCAAAAACTCCAAAAATAGCCGTTTTTACGAAAAACGTTTTTTCGTCAATAACTTTTGACTCATAAGCGCCATGACATTACTTTTGCCAGCATCGTGTTCCTCTCGTTGAGACGCGTCGAATGAACTATTTGTTGACCTTGAAAGGTCATTTTGAAAATTTGACCTCAGGTCAAGGTCATGACCTGACCGAAAAGGGTCATGTTGCATATCAGTCGATCCGTATCGTCGAGCTGAACACATCTGACGTGTTTTCACCGCTCTAGCACGTCTCTATCAAAAGTTATAGCCAAAAAACTGCTGGCGACCGTTCATGACCTGAGATGACCTCAGGGGCACACAGAGGGGTCACAGGTGCATTTTTCCTATTCAGTGTGTCATGTTTACCTATGAACCGATGTTTGAGAGCGTTTTGAACGATATTCGTCCAAAAGAGGCGCATTTCAATTTTCTCCCATTGACTTATAATGGAGAGGTCGCAAAATTGACCTGACCTTAGGTCACAGATATCAAAAATCCGAGATATACATTTTATACATACTGTTACTCATATCAATCGCTGAAAGTTTCAAAGTGATCGTTCAGTCGGTGTAGCTATAGCGAGCCTTTGAACTTTTTCTGAGGTAAGGTCACTTGACGTGACCTGGTGACCTGACCTTGAACGGCCTAGGTCTGAAATTTTCACAACATGTGCGGAAATGATGTAGGAACACGTGTACCAAAAACGGCGGCGCTGCGCGCCGCCGTTTTTGAGATATTCGCGAAAAACCTGAGGGGGGGGCGTAAAAACGCCCCCCCCCAGCACGGCGCGGGTTAATAATTGTCCTGTTATTGTGTCCACAATATTCGGCAAAAGTGGTCTATTGAAGTTTATACAATGAAAATTGAGGTTTCTAGGGCTTCTACGTAAACTCAGCTTCACAGCCATGCCACTAATTTTGAACATTTTCTCACCGAAAGCCTTACAAATTGATGTTCATCTCACCCTACTTTTTAGGGTCCGCCAGTGGTGTCCGCGCGCCTCTCGACAAACTTCGATTTTGCGGTCAGTTTTACCAAAGTTAATTATTTTTTAGGAGGTAAAAATGGCACCATCGGATAGTTTGGAATGTTTTGCACACGATTAGACTACTTTTTACTCAAAAGAAGAAAAAAAATATTTTGAATTTATGCGTGCTAATTCTGAAAAAGGGCCACTGTGCGTTGGTTGTAGGGTACTATGCACCTACAACCAACGCCCTACACACGACACTGACAACCAAGCTAACAACATAAACAAACGGTAACATAAACAAAAACCCAAGCGTCGCTGTTTGAAACAAAAGCGCCATACACTGCAACTTTTTTATAGAGAAGGACGACGCATTTCGGTGGGTGTTTCAAGTACTGCAAGTACTGCTTCTTTTTTGCAAAAATAA